CTATATATATATATATATATATATATATATATATATATATATATATGGAAAAATCTTTGTTTTTTACAGCTAAGCAAACAATACATCCTTTTCGCATATTCTCCACGACAAACCACAAACAACGATGCCTTCGCATATCCGCCACCACTGGACAACTACTATTCGCTAAATGCATTTCCTGTACCATATCTCCAACTCAACGACCTATCAACAAAACGACAGTCAACTATTATCAAGGCAATGACAAGGAGATTGTTAATTAGTCATATCACTTGTTCATCATATAACTAACTCATCAATTCTTACCAATTTACCTCGTTCTTTATATATTATATTTTTTTTTGGTTTTGTTTTTTTCCGTTGTTAACTAGTAATATTGTGCAATTACAGTATTACATTCCGAATAAATCCATATCACCGAAAACCGAATTCAACAGACTATCTTTTCCGATAACTATATCATCTAACATCAGATCGAGGTCAAATGATTTGAAAACGTCATAAATTGAGTATAAAACGATGTGAATGTGAAATATTTACTAAGTGGATTATATCATTCCCAGTCCCTATCTTATGATTATGATTATATCTTCTCTTTCTCCTTCATAAAATATATGTAGCATGGAACATTTGCTTCTTCTGCCTGAACAAAATCGTTCATTACTGATTCAAAGATAACTAGATTATTGTTTTTTTTCACGGTGGTTTTACATTGGTGGCTTTGCTGCTTTGTACATGTAATGTAACCTGCCTGTGATTCTTACCGATTTCAGGTTCAACTAATCTAAAAAGAAGAGAAAAATTCGATGAAATTGTTAATTCTGTGTTGGCACAGATAGGCTTGATGCAGCAACTATTTGTATTAATTTTTCTTAAATTTACTGATCATCCCAAGAACAGTTTGACTGCTTTGGTAGGATGGACAAAAGAATTGCGAATTTTAGTTGGTTGGGTCCATACAAATTAGCAGTATATATTTGTTTTAAAATAATTTTTGACAAAAAATAGCCGTAGTTGGACGAGGAAACCCAGCAAATTTCCAGGTTTTCCAGGTTTTTTTTTACTTAAAAGAAATTGGTGATTTTGGAGCGAAATACAAGATAGCTCGGGACACAAACTAAATAATTTCATCTCCCTTATTTTCAATAAATTTGGACTTCAGATGAAGTGCGGCACAGAGGAAATCCGCTATGGTTATAACATGAACAATGATTAGGAGGAATATTAACAGCGTTATCACAGAGAAAACAATCGCAACATTGAGGTTGCCAGAAAAATTCTCGAAAGATCACTGGAAATGATCAAATGTCGTAATGGTTAATGACAATAGTAATCGTTGATGTTGGTTTCATCTTTTTCTCAGATCTATCGGTGATATCGCCAAAAGAAAGACACGAGTGCAAGGCGGACAACGGAAAGGGCAATTACGCTTTCAGAAGGAGTAAATTTCCGTTCACAATTCCTGCATGTGTCAGTTAATGTAAGTGACAATCTTGTCAAGTCAGCAGATTAGTTTAAAATTCATATTTCAACCTCTTCTAGCCTTATAACTCTTCTTGCCTTCACATTGATTAATTTGACCAATGTAATTTGTTCAACTTTTTTCTCAGTGAACGACGAGAACGACTCCCGGCAAGAGATCGGACGACATTTTACTATATGTTTGTCAGGTAAGTCAGTGGGACACATCCAAAAGATGCCGAACATGTTCACAGCGAAAATCTGAGTCAGAGCGAGGAGAATTACTGGATGATCTCAAGACGGTCGGTGAACGGTTGAATCCATCAGGCGACTGCGTCCTCACAGTTGCTACTTCACTAATGTTTGGTTGTCAAGACTTTTGTCACTAACTATGAGCATGAACACTCTTGTAATCCGACTTTTTCTCTTACTGTCACAACACGTGCTCATTTGTATTTCGCTATTTTCTTACTCGTTGACATTGTCCTCTATCAAATATGTCATCAGTCACTTTTTTCCATTGAAAATTGTTTCCCTCTGTTCTTTTACCGACACCTTTGCTCTTATCCTCGTTATTCCTTCGGCGCTGCCTCTTAATGCGAGAAAAAGAAGAGGAAAATTTTCTTCCTGAATCTTTCCTCTTTACCTTTTAGTCTCTTTCGACAGGAAATACGACTTTCCTGACAGGGTATGGATGAGGTTTGAAACATTAACGTTAGTTCGATTTGGTCAAACTGGAAGGTTGAATCACAGGAAGGTCATACCATAACATTTCTCTTTCCTTCCTATCTTTTTCAGTCATTCTAATTTAGGCCTTTGTTATTTGAACTGAATTTTCTTCTACTTTTTTTACAATTTCTGTAAAAAAAGTTGTTACTCAATAAACAGAACAATTGCGTGTTTGCCACATAAAGAAACACTGACTTCTCGACTATATTCATTGTCTTGTGAACCTAACTATACACCCTTAAAAGACCTCATTGTACTTCAACCTGAGCATACACCGTCCAGATTGTTCTCTTTTATCTGGTTCACCCATTAATTATTTTGGGAAATGGTCAGTTCCCGGTTATGGTTATGTCTCGTATTACTGGGTGAAAGAGATTCTCTGTTGTACGATAGCTCAATTTTATTTGAATTTTTTGTCGATTAGTCGATACGTGAATTCTTATCAAACTAGAATCAGATGAACGACACATGTCAAATATTTAAAACAAATAAAATTCTTGAAATTGTCAAATGAAAAGAGTAAAAAACATTTAATGCTGCTTAAAAGTTCCTTTTTCACTTGCCAATTATTCCAATTCCTTTGCAGACATTTAATTAAAGCTTCTGTTGCTATTTTTCAAGCAAAAAAGTGGGCAATGCGCAAACGGCTAAAGGTGCTGATTTGTTTGCACTTATATCTTATATTTTGACTCAGATAAATGTCTTCAGGCTATTATCGTGTTATTATAATCATACTACATGTTCTTAGTTGCTGAAGTTGAACATTTAGGAAAATACTGCAAGTGGAGAAAGATGGTAAAAGATGGTATGGAGGAATTAGTAACAAAACTTCATTCAGCGGTAAAATCCGCTTTGGAACGGGTTGTAGCTGTGGCTAAAAAATATTGTTACCCTGTTCATGTAAAGGAAATTGCATTGAGAATTATTTCCTTTCAGGAACAAGGTAAATTTAAGGGCAGATTTCCTCTCAAAGAGTAAGAATCAATCATCTCGCCGAATATAAAGATTGTGGTGACGCTAAAGAAACTTTTCACTTTCGAAGGCAGGTTATGCCGCCAAATTTCTTGGTTTTAACTTGGGTAATTAAACCTTTATTCCTCAAAACTCGGGAACACAGAAATGATTCCAACGATTATAATATTAATATGAAGAAAAGGGGGACCAAAAACCAATAACGCCCGATACCGTCGACCCAACCGACGTGTTGCAACACTTCTTGCAAAAAATGATTTGGCGCTCAGGACCTCCTTCTTTTTATTGCTGCAATTTCGCGTTATGACTTTCGGAGTTTTTCCGACTAGTCATCGATTCACCCACCAGAGGTTTTGTCAGTGATAACTAATTGAATTAGCGACACAAAATGGAAAATAACAATACTTTGTGTTCATGATGATCTTAACATCGTCGGGCTGTTTCTTAGACATTTCATCAATTTGGCTCACATAATAATCTCCAAACTTCATGGTTTTAGCTCTTATGAATTCGGTCTAAAATTGCTGAAGCTATATTAGATTTCCAGTTTACGAGTTTCTTTCGTTTCATCCGATAGATTGCTACATAGGTATGTCGAAATGCATCTTGATTCATCTCAAATTCCTGTAAGCCTGGTAATCAATTATAGTAAAGGATTGTGGCATAGAATATTCCATATCTTGATGCCGGAAGCTAGCACTGACAGTGAAGTAAATTCAGGAAGCTGTGATCGGACAAAGGGAAGGTTCAAATTTATCTCCCTGTCTTGATCGAGTTTCAATTATCTGCCATATTTATATATTCAGGAAACATTTCCCTTTCTGAAAAATGCTTACGTGGAAAATTCATCAAACTGGAGAACCAGTTGCATTCAGAAATTTTTGGAAATAACATGTTCATTAAAAAGTCATTACCGAAAGAATGTCTTTTGATGTTCCAATTTTACTTCCGATTAGCAAATCAGCAAATATCGGTAAATCTCGTAAAATGTGCAGAATGAGAGTAATGAGTGAAAATGTAGACTAAAATTATCGTTGACGGTTCATTTACTACTTAGACGAAATAGAATGCCAAATTTATGATAATGTTGATTTATGTGGATGGGATTGAGTATAAGATGAAGTTTCAAAAGAAAATAATCACGCACCCATTTAGTTGTTTTTCCGGATATTTGCGTGATAGAATTGCTTTAGACAAGCGCTTTTCATTTATTATCATAGCAAATAGCAAGTTGTTCCTCGAGTGCAATAAAACATTTGATCAGGCGCAACTTGTGTCTTATATGAAGGCTGTCGGGAAAACTCCG